CGCTCCTGCCCGCACGTCGGCCACAGTCCGGCGCTCCTGCCCGCCCGGCGGCCACAGTCCGGCGCTCCTGCCCGCACGTCGGCCGCAGTTCGGCGCTCCTGCCCGCCCGGCGGCCACAGTCCGGCGTTCCTGTCCGCACGCGGCCACAGTCCGGCGCTCCTGCCCACGCGGCGGCCGCAGTCCGGCGCTGCTGCCCGCCCGGCGGCCACAGTCCGGCGTTCCTGCCCGCACGTCGGCCACAGTCCGGCGCTCCTGCCCGCACGTCGGCCACAGTCCGGCGCTCCTGCCCGCACGTCGGCCACAGTCCGGCGTTCCTGCCCGCACGTCGGCCGCAGTCCGGCGCTCCTGCCCGTCCGGCGGCCACAGTCCGGCGCTCCTGCCCGCGCGGCGGCCACAGTCCGGCGCTCCTGCCCGTCCGGCGGCCACAGTCCGGCGCTCCTGCCCGCGCGGCGGCCACAGTCCGGCGCTCCTGCCCGTCCGGCGGCCACAGTCCGGCGCTCCTGCCCGCGCGGTGGCCGCAGTCCGGCGCTCCTGCCCGTCCGGCGGCCCACAGTCCGGCGCTCCTGCCCGCGCGGTGGCCGCAGTCCGGCGCTCCTGCCCGTCCGGCGGCCACAGTCCGGCGCTCCTGCCCGTCCGGCGGCCACAGTCCGGCGCTCCTGCCCGTCCGGCAGGCCACAGTCCGGCGCTCCTGCCCGCGCGGTGGCCGCAGTCCGGCGCTCCTGCCCGTCCGGCGGCCACAGTCCGGCGCTCCTGCCCGCGCGGTGGCCGCAGTCCGGCGCTACTGCCCGTCCGGCGGCCACAGTCCGGCGCTCCTGCCCGTCCGGCGGCCACAGTCCGGCGCTCCTGCCCGTCCGGCGGCCACAGTCCGGCGCTCCTGCCCGCGCGGCGGCCACAGTCCGGCGCTCCTGCCCGTCCGGCGGCCACAGTCCGGCGCTCCTGCCGCGCGGTGGCCGCAGTCCGCGCTCCTGCCCGTCCGGCGGCCACGTCCGACGCTCCTGCCGTCCGGCGGCCACAGTCCGGCGCTCCTGCCCGCGGGTGGCCGCAGTCCGGCGCTCCTGCCCGTCCGGCGGCCACAGTCCGGCGCTCCTGCCCGCACGTCGGCCACAGTCCGGCGTTCCTGCCACGCACGTCGGCCACAGTCCGGCGCTCCTGCCCGCACGTCGGCCACAGTCCGGCGCTCCTGCCCGTCCGGCGGCCACAGCCAGTCGCGCTCCTGCCCGCGCGGTGGCCGCAGTCCGGCGCTCCTGCCCGTCCGGCGGCCACAGTCCGGCGCTCCTGCCCGCCGCGGTGCCGCAGTCCGGCGCTCCTGCCCGCGCGGCGGCCGCAGTCCGGCGCTCCTGCCCGCGCGGTGGCCGCAGTCCGGGCTCCTGCCCGCGGTGGCCGCAGTCCGGCGCTCCTGCCCGCGCGGTGGCCGCAGTCCGGCGCTCCTGCCCGCCCGGCGGCCGCAGTCCGGCGCTCCTGCCCGTCCGGCGGCCGCCCCCTCGGGAAGGCTTTGGTGGCTGTGTTAGCGGGATGCGGTCGACGGAGTCTGGCTATGTCCGTCGGGCTGGATGCGCGTGTTATCTTGCGTTGTAATGTTAGTGTGTTCTTGTAAATGTTTTTGATCCCGTTCGTCGTCTCAATGATGAGAGGGAAGAGCGTAGCAGGCCATTGTGTAATGTGTTCAGTGTTTAGCCGGCGTGGTCGGCTGTGTTCATATCTCCGTTCCACGTGACCACTTGACCTGGCCGAGGTCGCGTGTGCGGGCCTGAGCGAACGCAGACCTGGGGCGGGGACGGTCGGGTGCGGTCGGGAGTCAAGTTGGTCCAGGATGCTGACTGTATATACAAGTGACCGAAGCGACCGGGGACAATATATATATATATATATATATATATATATATATATATATATATATATATTAAAGCCAAGTTTCCTGCTATTCTGCATGTGAAGTGCAAACGGCTGACACAAATAAAGATGACGCAATTTGGTGAATACGCCACATACACCAAATTGCGTCATCTGTATTCGCGTCAGCCGTTTGCGCTTCACATGCAAAATATCTGGAAACTTGGCTTCAAGAGGGACACAATGGGGAATCGCTCCTGCCAGAAGCATGGGGCTGCGTATTGATTCACAGCTTTGTTTTGGGCACAGTGGTGTCCCCTCCCAAAACAAAAAGTTTTGCATGCGACTGTTTTGGAAGTTAATGAGCTCACGCTAGTTAGCTGACAACCACAGAGCCTATCTCACGTTTGCAGCTTTGACCTGTATCAGTGATGTTTGGGGCTTTATGAGCGCATCAGCTGGTGCGGCCATTTCGCGTGTTTCACCGGCATCAAGGAAATAAACGACTCGATAGTGATTGGTGTCAATCATTGTCGAATGCGTCACATGAAGACGTTTGCAGCTTCTAGAACATATGGAGCGTGGCCCACTTTAACTTATCAGTCACAAGTTCATTACCCAATGTGGCCAGGACAAAAAAGAGATATTGAAGCACATACAACAGATGAATAGAGTGCTCCAAGGTTTCTCACAGTTATATTACCATTTATTATTCCGCCATCGTATAAAATAATTTTGTGATTCAGAGCACTGGCCACGCGCGAGCTAAAATGCTGCATCACTAATATGAGCGACGGCTGCTGGGCGGTGTACAGGGCTGGAGGATCCTTTGAAAAGTTGGCGGTAAGAACCGATTAATTGCTGCCGAAACGTGACGTGCGTCCTGGTCGCTGAAAAATCCTAAAATGTTGTATGCCTCAAGTCCAACGAAACGCATCTTATAACGACCTTGTCATGGGTCACAGGATATCTAGTCACCAAGCGTAGGATATAGGCGGGTGAATTACAAAGTGGCAGTGTTTGTGAACTTAATGTGTCTTCGACAAGATTGATATGTTGTGAAAATTATACGACCATTACACGATCATTGTGCAGCACAACAGTGCCGACTCGTAGGCCGGATTATCAACACATCGTCATTGCCATATAGTCCGTGCGAGCGAACGATTTCAACGTCAGTTTAACGGCAGTGAATGTTTCACGGAACGCTAATCAGTAGACTCGATTGGCGTCATGGGCCCCTGATGCGCTGTCTGCGGAGTAAAAACACACGGTACATGTATGGCTTCGTCTGCACTGTACCCCAACTGTTTCACTGCTGCGTACCCCTGCAACAGGTGTATTTTGGTTCTTTGCGTTTCCTAAAGAGCGTTCAGACCTTACGAGCCGTGGCAATCACACAGGTTATGAGTTAACTGTTCAGCACTTATCTGGCAGGTAATGTACAGAAAAATGCCGCCATCCCTCGTACGAGGAGTAATCCATTCAGATCAGAACACAATGCCCTAACTTCCTATACACAGCCATGTCCACGAACCGGCGTGATTTTGCTTTTGGTGCAATGAAATCGGTCGGGTAGATTTCGTGGTCTTAGCTAGGTTGAAACTGAGCTTCTGCGCCTGCAATGAAGGCAAAATTCATCACTTGAAAGCAAAGGGTTAAGTCAACCTACCTCCGCTTGGACATGCGCCGGTGCACTCCGCTCCGGCTTGCGGCCCTCTCAGCCTGATTATCCCCGCGCCGCGTTTACCGTCAAAACAGCGCCATTCGCAAAGTGTGGCTTAAAAGGGAGACACTCTTTGCCCCCATTACTGTACCTCCATCCAAACCCGGGGCATTTTAGAATATGTCCAAATTCAAGATCCACACGAAGGTTTTCCCGACAAGGCTGTTGTTTCAACTATGCAAACATTTTGCTGACGGCGACAGGAGAAGTTTTAAGTTAATTCTGTCAAAAGCTGAAGGCATATCCTTGTCAGGGACTTCGAAGGAAACTGATTGGAGCTCCATTTTCACCAACCATAACCATAGAGCAGACAGAGTGCGTTGCACCTAGTAAAGATCTGCGTGACGGGGCACCGTCTCTGCTGTCATTGGACTCTTTCATTCTGGAGGTACTTGTGAGCAGTGAGCCGTGGACCTTGGCTCCATATGATGCAGCCCAGTTGCCCAGTTCATTGCGGGATGTCGACCACAAGGCATCATTACGCCCCATGACATGTCACATCCACCATGCATCATTCACACCCATTATGTCTTCTAAATTCAGTGCGGAAAATATTTTTTTAAATAAAAAATAAATGTTTGTTTGTTTGATTTTTTTTGTTTGATTTTTTGTTTGATTTTGTTTGTTTGTTCATGCTGCCTGTTTGAGTCAACACATGCATCGCCTATGCTGCCGCTGCCAGCAACGAGGTCACCTTCATGATATTCAGTCGCCCGGAAACGAGAGTGTCCTTTTCCGTGGAAGCTGGTTTTAGTGCAAGGCATTCCAGCCTCAGCCAGCTCGGACGAGTCCAAAGCAGAGCCCAGGGTGTGGTCCACACCGTCGCTGCGACGCTCTTTCGCTGCCCACCGTCCCCTCTACTCCCCAAAGCCGGAGCTGCGGGAGACGACCGGCGGTTCTCTCCATGACAGACTGTCTGGCGACAAACTGTCAGGAAAAGAGGTTGACAAAGCAGGGGAAGAGCGAGAGAATGAGTGTGTCCAAAGAGCCTCGATCCTCATTGTATTTTTGGTTTCCTTCTATGGCGATGCCATTCTGCTGCTGCAAAGCAAGTGCATACGCTATGACTTTATTGGCTGAGAGTAGCATGGTAAGTGGCTGGCATGGCTGTCCACATTCGATACCGGATAACCACCGAAACCTTGCCAGTGACCGCTAAGCTCGATCACCAGCCGTCGTACCATCACCATCCACCATGCATCCACCATCACCCGCCAGTGGAGAACAGGATTCCTCCAACACGTGCATTTGTATCCGGCGTTCGACCTTACTCTGGACAGCGATACGGGAGCCCATGGCACTGCGATCCTGTCACATGCTGCTTCATTGTGACTGCGCAAACCAGGTTCTCAAATTCTGGGAACAGGGAACATGCTGTACAAAAGCCGTTGATTGTGAGCAGTGCTGGGCCGCCTTTGAATCGCACACGAAAATTCGGCTGAAATATGATTTACATTGTGTATTATCCCTTGCCATGTGACGAACGTGTCCAGCAATACTTCCGCGTTGACAGAGCAAAGGGAACAGCAAAAGGATGAATCATTCGCGCCAGAAATCAATACTTTTGAGATTATTGAAATGTATTTTGCAACTTCTTTGTGTATATTACGGGCTATGCCAGTAAGGATTACGCAATGCTGGCCGTTGCAGCAATAAATGTAGTATTAATGGTTGCATGCTCACATTAGATGCAAAACGTGCCAAAAAATACACAACTATGCTATGCTTTCATTTCATAATGCGCAAAAGATTATTCGCATCATCCTTCCGTTCAGCTTATAGGGCCCAGAACATATAATATGCAATTTGACTGCTCAGCAATGTGACTCGAGTCGGCGGCTCCGCCCGTGCTCCGGTGCTGTGGGGCAGGAAGAGACTACTGCTGTGCTCACCCTCTGGAAAAGAACGAACACACACATTGTGAAGGAAGTCTTCATACTTGCGGAGCACAAGCATGCACCCCACAGACGTTGATTGACTTTACCCGACGCAAATTAGCTGACGCGCCATCTATCTTCAAAGCGAAGCGAAACACATCATATGCCGAATAACAAATGGGCCGGCGTTTCAACAAGCCACTCTGCAGGCAAGATCGCCCTCTTCAGATCAAGCAATGATCCACTGCGTGGACGTTCATCGCCAGCACAGTAGTGCACGCACAGTTACCGGGGCGCTAATAAAAGCCACCTGGAGTTGGCCTACCGGATGGGCGAACGCTGAGAAGGAGTCACCGGGATGCTAATAAAACCATCCACAGGACCTTCCAGTTGTGCTAATGTGACATAGCCATCAATCGATCAGGTGAGTAGACACGAATACAAAACGATTTGCTATAGTGTCAAAGTAAATGACTCAGATCACTCACCATCTGTGCTTTGTCGCCGCAGGCCGACTGCAGGGTGGGCGGTGGCGGAGGCGGCGGCACGCAGGGCCTTCGGAGCTCGCTACCTGCGCGGCGCGGCGCCGGTCCCGGTGCCTTCTCCATCATGCCGACCAGCTGCACCACGCTGCGGCGCTGGTAGTCATCGACGCCGGCGCCCGGCGCCCGAGCGCCGTCCTCGGCGGCGCCGGCCTCGGGCGCGTCCTCCTTGCTGCCGTCCGGCGAGCCGTAGCCAGAGGAGGCGGCGGCGCTGCCGGGCCTGCCGAGCGCGGCTGCCGGCGGCGACAGCTCCAGCTGCTGCAGCGCCGCCAGCGCCTGCTCCAGCTCACGCGACGCCCGGTACTCGGGGTCGGCGTGCAGTCGGCTCAGCGCTGACGTCAGCCGGCTCAGCGTGTCCGTGAGCGGCGGGCCGGCCGGCGCGCGCTCCGCCAGCGGTGTCTGCAGGGGGCTGGCACGGAGAGGCGCCGGCGCCGGTGGGAACGGCTCCAGCAGCGGCGTCGGCCGGCCGGCGGCCGACCGGCGCAGCAGCAGCAGCGAGTCGGAGCTAGCCGGCAGGTCGACGGTGGCGGCGGCGGGGGACGGCGAGCGCACCTCCAGCAGGCTGAAGGAGCGCAGCTGACGCGCCGACGGCGGCCAGTCGGCTCGTCGCGGTCCCGTAGATGGCGCCCAGCAGGCTGAGGCAGCGCGGCAGGCGCGACCCTGGTGTCGGGCCGTAGCCGCTGGACGGCGTCGGCGCGGCGGGCGCGCTCAGGGCGGCGCCGTCGGGCGCCGTGCGCAGCGCGAAGCCGCCGCCGCCGCCGCTGGAGCTGGCGTTGGTCGCGCTGGTGTCGGCTCGGCCAGGCGGCTGCTCGTCCAGCCGCGTCTCCCGCACGGGCGCGTCACAGCTGGACTGAGAGCGGTAGACCCAGGAGGCCAGCGGCACGCCGCTCGGCAGCCAGAGGTCCGGCGCGTCCGACTTCTGCACCATCTGGGCCTGATACTGGCGGAACGGGGCAGGTGAAGCCGTTTCATTGGACCGGACATTCTGAGTACTCAGGAAGCCATGGCGGAATCCTTGGAGACATGATGCGGAATCTGCCGCTGCTTTGCAACGAGGGAAGTTTTGAGTTGACAGCAAATGGGAAGAAAATGAGCATACATGAATGAAACAATTTCACCATTTTATGGTACATGCACTGAAAGGACATGCGACCTGCTCCCTCATCAAAATCGGTATCACACGTTGGCATAAAACTGCGAAAGTTTCTTCCGACAGTCATCTTTATCTAAATGCACTCGCAGATATAGGCTTTGCGTATGTAATGAAAGCGCATTGCGACCAGCCAACGACATTTTTCACAGCATCACGATACTGCAACGAGAAATCCCCCGGGACTTATGTGCCCGACTTCGACAAATTGCTTTCGCCCGTTCTTCAGATCACGATACCGGTTTAAAGATAACTAAATGTATGACACAGTGTCACTATGGATACGAGCGATGACAAAGGGGCAGCAGACTTATCAGAATCTTTAAATGATTGTGCCTATCAACAACACACTTTGGTCGCCAAAGTACATAAATTCGCAACATCTTATCATATAATCAACCCTTTCGTGTGCCCTCGCTCTTTCAGTCAACAGATCTCCCCGCAAATCGTCCTGCAAAGCGCAAACACATGAACAACTCACCGGTGCATACGTGAAGCTGAGGGGACTGGAAGTCGTGTTTGACTTCGGTGATGACCACGTACGCGCTCCCACCTGGTACTGATCAAACAACAGCTGCATGCAGAAGACCACGTTTCCAGCGACGAAGGAGATAGCCGCCGCTATAACAGTCGACAGTATGGATATGTGGGCCACTGAAACAGGAATAAATGCATGTCGTTTTGTACCTGTCAGGTTTATGAAAGCTCCGCGCAGTTAAGTAACTTTCCATCGCGCAAACTGGGTCGTGCATCAGCGCTTATTCAAGTTTTCCAGCGAGCAAGCACTACGGAGACACCGCCTAACAGTCAGCTACGAGACAAAAGCTACGAGAAAGCAAAAGATGCGATAGATTTACACCAAAATTAAAAAGAGATTTTTGAGAGAAGCCATAAAAGTCTATAAGTGGTTCATCCACGGACACCCTTCCTTACATGTCACAAGCTCTCTCTGAAAGTATTTGGTTCTGTAATTACACCAAATTTAAGCATGCAATTACCAGCATTTGGCACCGAAAATGCCTCCGATTTCTTGCTGAACTATAAGAGGAGAACACGAAAAAGCTACACACAAAGCGAAGCTTAGAAGATAATTTTGAAGCCAGAGTAGCATTCCTATGATATGAAAGTTTGATGAGAGGTATTTCCAAGTGTGCCAAAGAGTCATCGTCTGCTATGGTCGCGGAGCCCGCCACGCTATTGACAAGAAATATTGTGATGAATCAATTTACAATCAGCGTATGATACAAACACAGAATCTAAACAAAGTAGCAAACGTCGAGTAAGCGAACGCAAAGAAGGGAAAAAGAGGAGAGACATAGTATGCTTGGACGAGAACAGCATGACAAAAGTCATAATCCCCACATACTCAGCACGCATAAGAACTTTCCATTATTTGCATCCTTACAACCAACCGATATCTAAAAAATAGCATGAAAGAGGATAAGTGTACTTTCTAGAAAGAAGAAGCCGAACTCATCCCTCACTCGTATTTACCGGAAGTGGAATAAGTGGAAGTGAAGTGGAAGCATGAATATATCATCAAAATCGCTTTGTAATAGCCTCTAAAACCTAGTTGTCGCCGACTCACCTAGCAGTAATAAGTGTTCTTGTTATATCATAGGCAAAGTCAATTATTTATGAGTCACGTCATGCAAAAGCGCAGGAATGCAGAAACGCAGCCTGCGGTATATATCTGAAAAGCAAGCTCAGTCGTGAAGCCGAAATCGGATATATTGCTGCAAAACTAGTTCAAATTTAACTCATAAATAAAAACAAATGGGACAGCTGAAAGACAACCCGAAGTACACCGATGGCATGATAGACGACAATGACAGCATGTAATGGCAGTGATGGCGAAATGAAAAGCAGACCATCCTCAGTGACGGGCATTAACCCAGTGAAAGCTCTCTACCACTGCATGATACGTGCGCGTGCTCACACCCACACCAATACCCACATATACCACTACACACCCACACGCTCAAACACGCACATGCACCAATGCATGCTCACGCTCGCATGCTTTTTCCGCTTCTCACTTTCACAAGCACCCTCACACACTGCCATATGAACACAGACTCCTAGCCGCGGCGGGTTGGGTGCCGCCTGTCGTCGTCCCAGTGCTTACCGCGTCGACCCCGACGCAGGGGCCGGTGGCGATCTTTGAAGGCGTCTGCCTAGCCCATATATATATATATATATATATATCTATATAATATATATATATATATATGCACACATACACCACACACCGAACAATATAAATATATATATAATATATATATATATATATATATAATATATATAATATATATATATATACAACGCGTTTGCGCGTTGTTCTGTGCACGGTGTGTTGTGTGTGTGTGTGCTGGGTGTGTGTGTGTGTGGTGTGTGTGTGTGTGTGTGTGTGTGTGTGTGTGGTGGTGTGTGTGTGTGTGTGTGTGGTGTGGTGTGTGTGTGTGTGTGTGTGGTGTGTGTGTGTGTGTGTTGTGGTTGTGTGGTGTGTGTGTGTGTGTGTGTGGGTGTGTGTGTGTGTGGTGTGTGTGTGTGTGTGTGTGTGTGTGTGTGTGTGTGTGTGTGTGTGTGTGTGTGTGTGGTGTGTGGTGATGGTGGTGTGTGGTTCGCGATAAGTGGCTAAAATAAAGGATATAAAAAGTTCGATAAATCGCATGGCATGTCAATATTTGGGCACCATCAGCTTAGTACGCACCTGAGGGTGACACCACCATCACATTTGCAAGCCTGCTGCTATTTATACCTGCGTTTGACGCCACGCAGCCCGTGGGCCGCGGTGGAGACCGATTACGCCTGTTTGCTCGCTCGCGTGTTTCGGCGACCACGGGTCGATGCGGCTCGGCATTAGGTCGCCTCGATAGGGGGCGGGAAGGGAATCGCATGGTGCCATGTCTCCTGTCGTGGCGCGTGGCACGTGTCTCGCGTCCACGAGCTGGCAAGATCGATTTGGCTGTGTGGTTTCCATGCGTCATCCAGCCACAACTTGATACCCATTGCAGGCAGAGGCGTGAATCTAAGCACCACTTTGTACGACGCACGGTTGCGCTTCAAATTGTCGGTAAAGTAGGGCATGTCGGCATTCTGGGCAGCGCCGTTGACCATAGATGTAGCACGGGTGCAGGAAATTTCCGACCAGTCAGCGGCCAGCCGGGAAGACTCGCCATCCCGGACGCATAACTTAGCATAGTGGAACAATTCGCTATAGAATTGAATTGGCAATCGCACGATGCAGAGTGCTGGGCCGCACGTGCCACGAATCACGCCAACACGAGCCAGAAAGGTAGATTTTACTGTGCCGTTATCGGTTTTTCCGTTTGAAATTCTTCCCGTTTTCTAGCATACCTAGGCACCCAAGGCTTGGAGCGACTTGAGATTGTGTGTGTGTGTGTCATTGGGGCTTTACGACACTCATCTGCTGAGGCTATATGGCGACGCCTGCCTCTCACCCTGGCAGGAAGGGCGGGCACCGCGAGGAATCGAACCCCGTACCTCTGGTTTCCCAGACGAGATTATCATAAATCAGCAGAGCTGTTCACAAGGCGCGAGTAACGGCCCATGTGACACGGGGTGGTATGCCGCTGGCTCCGGACCGTCCTGGCCTTGCACCCGATGATGCATTGCCTTGCAGATGGGCATCGCCCCACTCGTCAACAACGTTGCAATCCCGGAGCCGCCACCTCCGGCCGCGGCTTTGGGCCGAGCTACGGTTGCCCGTCCGCCACGGGCGGTCGTTCACCCGGCTTCATGTTCTTGGCGCTGGTCATGGCGGCGGACGACGTGGCCGTCCGGCTAATCACGCGTCTACACAGTGTTCGCTTAAGTATTTTCTGCTTTTTTTACATGACCCATGCTTTTAATCACACGATTAACACGTGCTATTGACTCTGGCATAGTTTTGTCAAACGTCTCAGTGTCTTGGCATCATTCAGTGATGATGAAAGATCCACATACTGCAGCAAGCTGCCTTATTCTGTCATGATACGATAGAAATGAAAACAAGCCGGTCAAATGTTTAAACCCAAACACGTCAATAAATTTTTACCCGGCGTTGCTCGGGAAAAAACATTGAAATGTGCCAACTTCCAATTTCACGTGAACTTTTGATGGAACAATTGCGAAAACTTGACGATCGATAATACCCGACTTAACTACTGGCGGCAGTCGTTCGACAGTGGCCACCAAAGCAACGCTATGTCGAACATGCATCATACGAGCGCTGCGTTGCAGCATGCATGACGTGTTACGGCTACCAGCTGGGGATTTCCGTGGCAGCTTTTAATAGTCGTGCACAGCTACTTAAGTGATGTAGGCGCTTTTTGCTCTCTTCACTCACCACGTTGGACGCCATACACGTCCAACAATGTCTGAAGTCACACAGTATCAACCGTGCGGCGATTGCCGAAGCATATTTTCCAGGATCGACGCGAAACAAGACGGCAACGGTGTCCAACTACGACATCGCGCCGAGGCAAAGCGAGGAAACATATTAGAGAGGCGCTATAGTTTCCTACTGAATCGGCCAGGAATCAACATCATGTCGCTTACAAAGAGTGGGTCAAATATGGGATGAAACCTACTTTTGGTGCATTTGGGGTGAGGGTTCCTCGCTCAGTCCCCTGGCCTAATTTGCGAACAACCCCCTGTGATGGAGGCTTAATGACCTGACACGAGCGCTGTAAAACACCCCCACCTGGAGTGCGTGAAAAGGGCATTTCCATATCGAGCCGTAGCGGTGTGGCATCGCCTCCCTGCTGTCATGTGCCAGTGCAAAATCTGAAATGAGTTCAAGGGCAAAGCAATGTCTGTCATCAGAGACCTTGCCTAAATTGACCACCCCGGCCATGACGTGCAGGTGCTGATTGTATCATAAGTCGCTCATGTTTTATAGCATCGTATGTGTATCGCTGGCGTTCCATCTCACTTGCATGTGCGGCGTGCTCTGTGTTGATCTATGTAGTACGTACTGACCCGGTGTTAGAAAAGCCACTCGTTGGATTTCGCCAAGGTTTGCAATAATAATAAAAGCACGTGGCAGATTCGCCACCAGATTACTCTACCGCCGGGTCTGGGGTTCAGGGTCCAATTGTCAAGCAGGGACAAGGTCGGGGCTTGCGATTAACATCGGTCGGGGCTCCTGAGACAAAGAAAGGGGTCATTTGTCAATCTGGGGACTACAGTGCATAACAAAGGTCTTGTATGGCAAGGACCCAAAAATCGCCCCGAGGCAGTGTTCGAGGTGACTAAGGGATCTGAAGGCCCCTCGGAACCGACGGTCGAGTGCCTGAACACTGGGCCGATGACGTGCTGCAAGTGCCTGAGCTGCTGGTACCGTAGGTCCTTAATGCATCACTATCTGTATCATGATCTTCATAAGTCATCATTATCACTGTCACATTGGCTTCAAAAGGAAGTCATTCCTCAACATCAACACCAGTTTGGAGCCACCAAATGTGTGCATTTTATTTCAATTTTGACATCAGTGTCGCAAATCAGAGTGGCCAAAATCCGGGAAGAAATCGGAATTTGAGGGCAGCTTAGGTCCACTTTACTGACTCAGCTTCCCCCTCGCCAAACGATTCTAAAAAGTGACATCACTGAGTTCATTCTTGTCCCGGAGCAGTGACTGAACCAAATAACATAAGAAGGCTTTGAGCCTGCTTGCTCGCAATCTAAGAAGCAGGAACATCGATAGCCGGTGCCGCAGTTTCCAAACCGAACGGCGGCAGCATTCCGCGGCAAATAACAGGAACCCTTACTGCGCATCTAAAGACAGCGGTGCACAAATGCGTTTTTGCACGTGTTAGCGGCAACCGTTATCGTGTAGGCGGCGGGAACTCTTTCCGTGTCGTTGGTCTGCGGAGCGTGGATTTCCGTTGGAAATGGTTTACCAATTCAGGGAAGCGATGCGACGCGCTCACAGCTTGTCAACAGCATGGACGGACAAATAATCCCACCTGGCTACATGTTACCAGGAATCGGCAGGCGCAGTCAAGAGTGGCGTTAGCACATGCTGGAGGGCGGTGACAGCGTGTTCTTTGACGGGAGTTTCTGAGCGCAAGTGCTTACAAACAGGCTAACATGGCAGGTGTCAAACTCTATTCACCAACACAGGAAATGTGAGAGTGAACATGACCGATGGGTATATTGCAGTGGGACCCGTCTTACATTAATATGCTTAATATGTATTATTATTATATTATTGTATGTAGATATTATTATATTATTGTATTCATATATTTTACATTAATATGTCTTACGTAATGTTTGCTCAAGGGACGTCTGGTAGTTTTTGTCATGCATAGCTTTTATGTTGTGCGAACACGCCCACCATCTCAACAGTTCGTATGCTGGACATGGTAGCAGGTATCAAACACTGGCATACCTAACACAATACCCTTGTTTGCAGCGCTTCATACCACGAGCGGAGACTCTTAACTGCGCGTTGGCACAGCTTTGATTAGGTGGAATGGCAGGTAAGACAGGGTTCCTGAAAGATCGCATGCATGAAGCACATGCTAGGAAATGTCTGACCTTCTGGCCTACATAGCTGCGTTAAGGATGCCGTGAGCAGACGTGCTCCTGGTTCCCGAGATTTGCTCTTGGGAACCGGCCCCTAGTTGCTGGTTCCGGAACCCGGAAGAACACAGGAACTCGTCTGAAATTAGGCCGCGGGAGCCAGCAGGAACCAGGATCTATTTTCATACCGAGCGGAAAGAGCCAGTGCGAACCAGGATCCAGCCTGGTATGAGGTCGGAAAATTCAGCAAGAGCCAATATCCAACCTGGCATTATGTCGAGAGATTCAGCAAGAACCAATATCCAGCTTGGCATTATGTTAAATCAGCGCCACCCGTCGAGAGGAAGACTTGCCAGCACTATGTCTGGCGCTTTGGCTAGTTGACGTGGACATTGAATCGCTCACCCAGTGAGACTCAGGCTGCTTCCATTGTTGTTGGGCTCAGAGTTGTTGCCCAACCGCGGGGGACATAAGGCCACATGCTCCGATTGTATGTTCTATTTTTTCAAGGCTTTACGCAATTTTAGGTCTGGCCTACGCCAGTGGTTTGCTTTTTTGCGTTTTTGTAGTTTTTTTTTTGTTCCTGGTATCGTGCTTTTGTATCATATATTTCCCTGAAAGCAATGTGTTCGCGCGGATGGGCACCAAATGAGCAAATACAAATTGTACTCAGCTGCAGTCGAAATATATGGTTGGCCGAGTAGTCAACAGAATGTATTTTTGGTAACCTAGTGCCAAACGCCCCAATTAGCAATACGAAATGCTCAGTAGCTACCAGGCTATCATTGTAGCGCATAATTCAGAGAAAACTTCGATACTGGGCCAAGTCGCACAGTCATAACAGCATGCACTAATGTTCTGCAGCTTTCTTTATTGTTCTCAATTATGTCGATATAATCCATCGACTGGTACGACAGTGCACGAGCCAAGGTAAACCATGCTGCATGAGAACACACCAGATTACCAGCAGTAGTAACATGGGGTCACCCTAGATCATCAGGAAGGTCATGTAAGTTGAGCTTTTAGCTCCTCCAATGACGCCGCGGGTGGTTGGGGAGCCGCGTAAAGCGCCTCTTCCGGCCAGAGGGGAGGAGTCATGCCAAGCGTAGGTACACAAGGGCTCTGACTGCAGTCAGAGTAGTCAGAGCCACCTTTCGGCCCAAGCTTTCTAGTTGTACCTGGGTCTTGCCGCAATCCGTTGTATCCGCGGGCAGCGGTGCAGAGATCCTGGCCGTTGAGGGATCTGCCCTGCAGTTCATTCGGGGAAGCCTAACAACACGTGTCTTTGGCCCGAGCCGGTCAGGTGACGCAGTCTAGCGGCACTGGCCCAAAGCCATGTGGACCACTTGACGGTTGCGGAGGAGGTTGCGGCCTTTGCAGCCTTTGCTGCCGGGAACAGCCTTTGTTTTCCAGGGCCCGAACCTTGGCTTGCCAGCAGGGCGTCTGGTTAGTCCCTGTGAGCCAAGGCGCTGGCTTTTGCTGATGCTTACCCGGCGGCTCCCGCACTTCTGGAACTCCTGGAAGTGGACCGTCCTCGTGTTGGACCCCATGGTGAGAGGGGAACCAGTGCACTGAATCACACAACCTGTGTATGACCATTAGTGTTTCAACCAACTAGCCGCAACCCCGACCAGCGATTCGAATTAGCCCAGAAGTGGGCTTTATTTAAGACTGACAACATAAAGATGTGCTTCTTTACACAGAAACAGATAATGAGGTGCATGACATAGACGGCGGTGAGATCCGGCACATTGAGGCGCACTTCACAGACGACATTGAGATCCGGCATGTGCTCGAAAAGACCGGGTTGGCGTACGAGTGCAAGTGCGGCGAGAAGTGAAGCAGCCCGTGTCAGTGCATCCGCGACAGTCTTGGAAGTTCTCAAAGAGCGCATTACTTTTCGTGATCTTCACGGTGTGTATGATGGCAACCTCGTGGAGGTTTGTGCGAGGACGGTGTGACGGCGGTGAGACGGGATAGGACGAGAGAGAGGAGATCTGACCGACACATTTTTTAATTTGGCAGAGATCTACACTAACTGACACAGATTAAACCCTATTGACTTCTCGTTCTGCGAGAGTGCTGGAAAGAGCCCACATCAGCTATCATTCAGTATCCGTTAGCACCTACCCACCAGCCCCTGTTTGCCGTTACGGGTGCCAAACGTCCTGACACTCTGATTTTGATCCACTTTAGGGGACCAGGTTTGGTGACCTAGCCCCCTAACTACGCTTCTCTTCCCAAATTGAATCGGATATCTTCCTGATTCGCAATCTCATCAGCTCTGCAGCCTATAAGATGTACGGACGGCTAGTGATGAACAAAAGCTTCTGCTTCACCGGATATGAGCGGCGATGAAAACGGACACTTTTGTAAGCCAATTGGTGACGAAATTGCAAGAATGGAAACAAATTACAACAGACCACACCGTATCACGGCACACCATTCCAGCTAAAGGAAGCTTCAAGCTTATTAGTCTACTCGCTAACGCTTGCAGCATGAGCATGTGTAGAGTACGCGTCGAAACGCTGGCGTCTCACTGTGCAAGCAAGTTGAGTCACGAGATATTGCCAAACATAGTCGCTTTAATCGGGATAGTTTTAAGCAGGTGACCGAAGTCCACTTTAAGCCATACTATATCGGTGCTGACGTCACATATCAGTGGTGACACAGTGCTTTTTCAATGCACCTGAGATCAGTACCTTTCACAGATTTTTCGGCCAAGACTCACTTTACATGCTAGACAGCATAAAATATCGAACAATTAAGCTTATTACCAGTCGTAAGAATCGTGGCTGGTCACAGCATATTGCGACGGACGTGATCAGTTTACTATGCGGCGTTTTAAAACGTGTTGCCATTTAAGACAGATTGGTTCAAATGCTCGCCACGTGGTATTGAACTGGGTTCCGTGTGGGGCTATGGGCTGCTGTTGGTTGTGTTTATGTGGCGAGAAGCGAACTGGCTTGAAAACGTGGCCAGTGGTCAGTTTTTAAGTCACTGTGCCGCACTTGTATGGACCTAGCATGGAGAACGTCCCTGGAAATAGCGTTAAACAGCCCTGCCGATCTGGGACGCTTGTTGTTCGTGGATTCCCAAACTTTAGTTAGCTTCAACGGTCAACAGAGGACATTGAAGGTACACATGTTAAGGATCCATCCAGGGTTTTCTTCCACTGAGAGGAACAGAGGCTTTGATGTAAGATGCCGAGCAATGCTGGTGTAGGCCTCACATCACCCGTCACACCTCAGCTTTAGCGCTCTGGCCGGTGGACAGATGTGGGAAAAGACGTTTTTGATTGTCATCGTATTGAACATAGCGCTAAATGAAGGTGTTAGAGGTGCTCGAAAATGTTGCTAGTATCCGTTAATGCCATCATTGCACGGGTTTTGCACAAATTTATTGGGATCGTGTTTAAGTGCGAGTTCTGCGCCAGTAATGATAATGCGAAAATGGTGGAGGTCGCAAGCGCTTTCAGCCGACTGCACGACGACGTCACAAAACCGAAAGTGATGTTGTTTTCAGGCGCCTGTAGAACTATGTTGTCGGTAAATGTAGGGCTACAACGATGCAGTTTTACCGAATGCGTAGAGATCAGGGGGGGGGGGGAGCCGGAAGGGAAGTGGCTGAACCTACCTACAAAATGCACTTCAAATAGTTTTCTCCCCAAGTTTCACGCACCTTCCTTTCAGAGTTGGGAGCAGGGGTGCAGTTTTTCGAAGTAGTTTGGGGGTCTGAACACTAAAAATCATGAATAATGGTTATGTCGCATGACGTTTAATTGGACTTTGTTTTTGTAGTGTATTGCATTTGGAGTTATATTGCATAGGTTTCTAAAAGATTTGGCTCCCGTTGTCAATTTGGACGATTCCAAATTTCGCCGGTGATAGTAAAGGCACTTTTTCACCGCCGCAGAGGGTGACGCTGCTTTTAAGCTACTCACTAAGTGCTATTTTATCGTTAAACCCCGCGCCAGCTTCTAGTGATCAGTCACATCTGACACCACCAGCTTGGTATCCCAGCTACGTCGGAATTGTGACAAATGAAAAAGCAGCCGCCGCGGCGAGAGCAGCCGTGTGCCGGGACTGCCCCCTCCCTATCAAACTACAGCCTGGTAAAATGAAGCCAGCGATCACAATGCACATCTACAGTGTGTGGCAACAAAGGTTTGAAGAAGTGTTTGCTCCGTCCAAAGCCATCAAGCACTCGTTGGCGGGTGGGAGACATTCAATCAAGCCAATTGATATGAAGAGCTTTCTTGCTGATGTTTGCACAAGGCTTCCACTAACTCACTGATTAATTTTGTTTCATGATATCCATCGCGAGATTCTCTTGATTGGTTGCATCTGATGCGGCTGAAGAACACCTGATATACTTTTACGAGGCGTAGATGGCGGTGAAATTGCGCGCATTACAGCATTCGAAGAGGAAGCTACATTTGACTGGCCTAGACCTTTTTAAGGCACTGTCGTGTGGGAAGACAGTTTGTGGGCAATTTGTGGGCACATTCTACTGTGTCCCAAGTTATAGAACGGATCTTTTGGTTCATTTATCAATATGCTTCTCGTCCTTGCCGCGCTGTCCCCCAGCGCAAAAAGCGATCGCTCACTGAGACGTTAATCCATCATATGAACCTTACATGATGCCATGTAGCCGTCAGGCTTAGTTCCTACATTAGCTGTGTTGATTGGAGGAGTTAAATAATCCATCTTACTACTTAAAACGACTTGAAATATATTTTCAGTTGGCAAGAAATGGTACGATGCAGATATTCCTATTTAAAACTAATGACGTCACTTTCATCTTTTGTGCCAAACTTTGTTCTTCTCAGAGTGGGGCGGTTCCCTGAGAACGCGCCCTTGCAGCGCCCTTAGTATAGTCAATCATTTGGGTTCATGTCACGGTTTTTGTTTTGCGGGAGGGATTACGAGGGGTTGGTAAGTGTAGGTAAATTTGAATGTGACGTTCGATGGGTGAATAGCGTGAATTGTTAGCAGAAGCTAGCCACCTACATACCTTGGTCAAGGTATGTAGATTAGCATACTCAATTTCGCAAAGGTGCCTGTCCAACAATGTATGTGCAGTGGGTATGGCTATTGGTGGAGCACGGGAGCGAAAATCAAGATTCCGAACATTGTTTTTTATAACGTGAGGATGCCCATTTAGCTGTAATCCACACCTGTAGCTTTTCTAATAAAGGAAGTTGTTTTGTAAATTTGTATTGTAGTTTGTAAATTTGCATGTGTAGTTGTAAAAATATGTTTTATAAAGCAGAAATCTACAAACAACAACTACAAATTACAATTCTACGAGGCCAGACACGAAAATTTACAAATCTCTCGAGAATCTCCACGAACGTACCCTGGTATGTTTCATAAAGGCCAGCTGCTTTTCCAGCCGCGGTGCATTTGCAAGATTAAAGGTACAAATCACAACTGCAAATCAACGATGGCCTACGCTATTGTAGAAACGGTGATCGTAACCTTAAGGTAATGCCGGTAGCGAAAATGGATTGTGGACAAGAATCTCGCAGAAGAAGGAGGCTTGCAAGAATCTTCCGGGGCAAGATAAACAAGTTCTCAGAGGAGGTGGAAGGACAAACAAGCTCGCAGAACACAACGCTCAGAGGAAGCAACCCAGTGATGGTGTTGATGGATTTAATCACCTCTAACTCCGCGTATGACCCGTGCAACCAAGCGTGCAGCAAATTTATTCCTTTGCGGTATTACCCATCACTGTAAGTGACCTTGGCGGCCGCACCGGTACGATCGAAATCCTGCGTTGTCTCGTGCTCGCGCGTTGAGGTGGTGGGAGGGTACTGACACAAAGGTGATCATTTTCCGTGAGTAGGCCTATTGGCATCCACGTCACTGCCAGGATGAAATGGCTGTACTAAAAGGTTATGAAATGTCTTAATTTTAAGTGTAGTTTCTACTCATGCAAGCGAAAGCAAGTATGCTCATCCTACCAAACTGCGGGCATGCAGCGACATTCACCTTTACGCCAAACATTGACAGCTATCCCCGGGTGTGAACGATGCATGAATCCCGTGTCTGTGAGTGGAATATGGGTGTCTATCATGGTAACAAAACACTAGCATTATGCTGCTTCACTAAGTCACTGCTTCGCTGGCGCCACGACAGTGCCAGTATTCTGTTTGTTTACTTCTGCTTAAAACTGGAAGACGCACGGTGAATACAATGACAAATGCACTTGATTGTTGGTCTTGGGGAACCCAATGTTCTGTTCCTGGACACTTCTGAGACGTTTATTTAGTTTTTGTTTACAAACCGCGGTATTTATGATGATCCATGGCATAATTTGCTGTTGCTGCGCTCGTCGGACATTGGCAATATCAGCTGGCGGGTGAAACACTGGGGGGTGGGGGCAAAATTGGATTTCCTATTGTTGGAACCCCGTGCGACTCAGCACAAGCCAATGACGTCACTGGTGCCCTGTGTCAATGGCCCCTGCCGCTGCTAGCTCCATCGCCGTGGCGTAGCGGGAACGTAGGGTAGATGCAGCATTTAAAGTGATTGGAGGCGAGGCAATTAATAGCCCTTCAAACTCTGATTAGAAGTATCAAGCAAAGTCGTACTTGTTCGGTTAGTGTTCCTATTATCCTGCAAGCAGGGGCGTCACCTTTTCTAAGTGATTGCGGATAAGCCCAGGACCCAGGTGAAATGCATATTTTGTGATAGGGTGAGCCATTTTCCGCACTCCCCCCCCCCCCCTCAAGCAAATTATTCAGCGACATTGTGAGGAACTCACACCTTGTGAGGAACTGTAAACCTAATCCCGCCCTAAATACATTTTTACCGGCTCTAAAGCGACTTGATTTTAATGTACGGTAGTTTTTTTCAAGTTGATGGCACGGAAAAGGAAAGCAAAGGAAAAGAAAACGAAACTTTGAGGCTCGCCCAAAAATTAGGAACTTTCACCAGGGGCCTTCCGTAAAGCCCTGCGTCACTCCTGCTCCACCAGGATTCTGGGTGCGACCCTGGGCGCGTGCACATGGGTGACACAGAAATCGGCACCGGAAGGAGCGGAGACAGCGAGAACGGCGAGCCCGACTGCGTGAGCCTGACTGCATGTATTGACACCAACGTCCCGCTGAGTATGGGTGATGTAATTTAGGTTAGGTTTACCGAATTCACGCCGAACTAATCGTTTGATAACGCAACGTATTTTGAAGGACAGAATGAAGAAAAGGTGGCTTTTCCCAGCAAACTTGGCATGCAGTGCAGCTGTAACCCACGGAAACGCAAATATCCAGATCGCAATATGCACCGCGCGGAGCTGCGCGCTGCTCTCGCTGTGTCGAGACTCCAGTGACGTCACGTCAACGTTGGGCGTATGGGGTGCTAAAAAGCTGGTCAGGTGTGGTTCTTATACGTCCTCGGCAAGGCCGGTGATTGGCGGCGACAAATTACACACGGCGCAAAGTTTTACAACTACAATTCTACAACTCGCGGTAGATTTATGAAACAGTTGTAAGTTTTGTATATAAATATGTATATACACGTCTAAATATATACCACTGCGCTCCAAATCAAACAGGGAATGCGCATGTTCAAGTTTCGCGTCCCCGCAGGGCATGGTGTCGTAGGTACATGGTCGTAGATATATATATATATATATATATATATATATATATATGGTGTAAAGCTGAAAAGTGCGATTCTCTTGAAAATTCCACCTTTGACCCGCCATAATAGGGACAATTAATTGAACTAAAGACTTAAAAGGTAGTGACAATCGTGTATCTCGTTGATACTAATTCACTGGTGCTTTTCGCTAATCTCTATACACATTACTTCAAAAACGCCAGTGGTGGGGGTTAGCACCCCCCCCCCCCCTTCCCTTCCCGCCTCTATCAGTCCGCGTAGGGAAAACGGCGAATCAGGGCGACGGCTAAGGAAACATGTCGGGCCATTTGTGTTTTGTTTTTTTGTTTTTTGGCATACAGGCGTCAGCTTTTTGACCCCTGCAAGACATGCGGCAGTGTAGGGGATGCGGAGAGCCCCTTGCTGTACAGTTTGGTCTTATTTCGTGCGTTCTCTAGGCCGCGGCTCGGTAGCGTTATTTCGCCCCAGTGCATCTTTCTTAATTTCTGGGTCCTGATCCATGCTGTGACGTTGTATGTTTACTCCCTCTTTAACGTACATCGACTGAAGTGTCATTTCGAGCAGTTCGACAGAGTATATCTATTAATTTTGGATTACTTGCAATAGGTAACCAGCATTGCTGCCCATGTGCGATATGGCCCATTGTCACCGGGGAAAGGCCGTGGGCCACGCAAGGCAAAATGGCCACGCCGCCGATCGCCCTTTAACACCAAAAATCATGTGATAACAATGCGATCGTGTACACATCCAAAATAAATTTTAAACTAGACCCGGACTCCAATTAATTACATTCCGGGTATGAAAATCGCAATTCTGAGAACCATGCGAAATATTACAGGGCCATTCCATTCATTGGCTCACCTGTGGCCACCGCTTGGATGTGCTTGCCGTGCGGTGACAGCCCAACGATGACGAAGTGCGCGACATTGACGGCAGGGGCCGAGCAAAGCAGGCCGAGCTGCAGCTGGGAACGTTGCCAGACTCGCCTCGGTCCCGTGACGCAGAGTATGACCGCAAACAGGCCCGCCAACACATCCTAAGGAGCACCGGGGCAGAGTGTGACATCAAACAGGCCCGCCAACACATCCTAAGGAGCACCAGGACAGAGTGTGACAGCAAACAGGCCCGCCAACACATCCTAAGGAGCACCGGGGCAGAGTGTGACATCAAACAGGCCCGCCAACACATCCTAAGGAGCACCAGGACAGAGTGTGACAGCAAGCAGGCCCGCCAACACATCCTAAGGAGCACCAGGACAGAGTGTGACAGCAAGCAGGCCCGCCAACACATCCTAAGGAGCACCAGGACAGAGTGTGACAGCAAGCAGGCCCGCCAACACATCCTAACGAGCAGCAGGACAGAGTGCGACAACAAACAGGTCCGCCATCACATCCTAAGGAGCACCGGAACAACTGCTGAATGCAAACAGGCCTACCAGCATATTCAGTGACGCGCCGGAACAATTATATCAACAAACAGGCCAAGCAGAACATCTTGGGGGACACCGGGGCAGAGTGTGACGACAAACAGGCCATCAGCGCGTATTGAGCAGCTGATGATTCACCAGCAGTGCCGTGACCATGCGTAACATGCCAGGATGCGCCCAGAGTCGCCATCCCGCAGAGTGGCACTCGCAACAACATAGAATTGACACTGTTCACTCAAGCGCATGCTACATTACTGCCAGTGAACGCGTTAGCTTATCAGTTTTCTGTCGGTGGACATGGTTCAAGGCAGCGTGCAGCGGCACATGTTCTTTACGTGAATGAATCATCGAATTATCGTGATTACGTATGTTCCCGTGCATCTGTGAAAAAATCAAAGCCACGCGGGTGACGCTCCGCACCATAAAGGGAATGTGCTCCCTTTGCATATGTTGAAGCAACCACATGACATGAAGAAATGAGCTCACTGATGACCATTGGTATACTTTTAAGTGGAAAAGACCCCTCCAGACAAGATTTCTCCATTTAGTAAATACTCTACTCAATGCGTTAGCGTTTGATCGCGTCATGGAACATATTGCGGGACAGAATCAGATAAGATGGCAGGCTCATTCATGAATATTAGAATACTTTAACGGGAGTGGTCCATACTGATATGGATTTTGGAACTGAAACAGCCATCCTGAAGACTTTTGGTGCAGGTCACAGTCCTACCTTTCCTAAGACCTAACTCTCTCTAATTACTGAGCTACACACCCGCGAAAATGGGGAGGGTATTTCGGGAAAGTGTTTTAAGGTCATCTTCACATTCATGACGTGATAATCACGCCATTCAATCCTGCCATTTCATCAGCCATGCGACGATCAAAGCCGAGACAAAATATAATGGCTGGGTCGTTCATAGCTGGCGTTCGTGAACATGATTTCTATATCTAACGGCCGTCAGCTGGTTGTCAATTAATGCTGTGAGAGGTACGATGACGTGCTGGAGAGCATATTTACTTAACAGAGAAATGTGGTGTCTAAATGATATTTTTGGGCTTTAAAGCATACCAATAGTTATCAGCATGATTGTTTCATCATATCTGGTATTTACTTCAATATCTTCAAATGTGAAACATTCGCTTTCAGTGGAAAATACCTCCCTAGACAGCAAAAATTTCTCTATATGGTAAATATGCTTTTCAGTACGTCATCGTTTGATAACGTCACGGAGCGGCTGTATGACAGCGCTCATTCCTGGCTCTGTAATCTCCGAGAGATGACAGTACGGACTGGAAGCATTCAGTGGGCGAAATGTCGTAATTTAATCGTAATTTTGCTCTCTTTTACGGTGCTCTTGCATACGCATCCGTAAGTTTGAGTGTTTGTATTGTACTCATTGACTTGGCTATGGCAGTATTTGTAAGTTGTTTGACACAGTCTTATTTCCGTAAGAACTGGGAAGAATGTAAGCTTCTTGCATTACGTGGTAAAACGTGATTCGTGTTATAATCTTTCATAGCTTGTGCAACATTGGTCGAGAGCCAGTTGCTGGGCGGTATGCCTGGCAGTCGTACTAAAAAACGCCAGATATGATCGGTTCGACGATCAGTTTTTTTCATCTTAAACGCCGCATGGTCAGTTGCATGACGGAGATAGAATAACGGTGGTATGGAGTCAGAGATGCCTGAGTGACTTTAGAATGGTCTGCACAAAATAGTCGGCACATATTCGGGGGCGTGTAGCTCAGAAACTCGAAGGTTTTAGGCCTTCAGAAGGGCAGCGTTGCAATCTGCACCGAAACTCTTCAAAGTGGTTGTCTCAGCTAAAAGAATACAAATGCGGAACACGCCCTGTACGTGCAAAATCATCACTATTTATTTGCTCTCGTAGCCACGTGTTACCGCATCCGCACATACAAACCTATTAGTGAAGGTCTCCAGAAGCTAGCACGAAGACATCTGCAGCCAAATTTGGCTGTAAATCAAAACCATCAAATGCAGAGAGGCCTCTTGACTGATCGCCTTTAATGTCAATTTTGTGTGGACTCTTCACTTGTGCACTCTGCGCAATCAGATCGTGAATCCCCGAAGCGCCGCCAAATTTGTCCAGATACGAGTGGGTGCACACGCACGCGGCAGCAGGCAGCCAGGTTCCCCGCATCGACCATCACGTCGCGCCAACCAGGCCCAGGTCACCGCACCGACCGTCACGCCGCCCCACCGAACCCAGGCTCCTCTCCACCGACCGTCACGCCGCGCCAATCAAGCCCAGGTCACTGCACCGACCGTCACGCCGCGCCACCCAGGCCCAGGTCACTGCACCGACCGTCACGCCGCCCCACCGAACCCAGGTCCCTCTCCACCGACCGTCACGCCGCGCCAACCAGGCCCAGGTCACCGCACCGACCGTCACGCCGCCCCACCGAACCAGGCTCCTCTCCACCGACCGTCACGCCGCGCCAACCAGGCCCAGGTCACTGCACCGACCGTCACGCCGCCCCACCGAACCCAGGCTCCTCTCCACCGACCGTCACGCCGCGCCAATCAAGCCCAGGTCACTGCACCGACCGTCACGCCGCGCCAACCAGGCCCAGGTCACCGCACCGACCGTCACGCCGCGTCGCGCCAAGATCCCCCAGCACCGACCGTCACGCCGCGCCAACCAGGCCCAGGTCACCCGCACCGACCGTCACGCCGCGGCAGCCGAGCCTAGGTCCCACAGCACCGACCGTCACGCCGCGTTCTCACTCACCCACAGTCCGGCGACGATGGTGCAGCCGTTGAAAAGCGGGTGCGGCGCCTGCAGCAGCAGGAAGATGCCGCAGACCAGCAGGCTGAGCCCGGCCAGCAGCAGCAGCGCGGCCAGCAGCGCCACGACGGCCAGGCAGCATCGCGAGGCCGGCGACGCCATCAGTGCGGGGACGGGCTGACACGGCGGCGCTGCGGCGGGCGGGCCCGGCGATTATGTCTGGTCACAGGCGCCGACAGAGCCCGGAGACGCCGGCCGGCCGGGACTGAGTCAGACGCACAGCGCCTGTATCGCGACCGCTTCCTGCGCGCCCGGCCGGCCGGAAGGAAGACCACAGGACGTGACGGGATCGCAGAGGCTCTGCATCAGCCGCAGGAGGCGACGCGTCACGGCCAGTAACAGACGTCGGCCGACGCGTCATGGCTAGGATCGGACGTCGGCTCCAGGAAATCTATCGGTGGCGATCGTGTGGGGGAGCAGGCCTTGTTCAGTTATAGTAACAGTTACAGTTGCAGTTACAGTTATTTTATTTAAGGCGCCTCCACGTGGTGGTTGTTCGGCACTTAGCTGTGCAAGGAAAAGGACCTACATACAGAACAGAGGTACACACATAGGCATAGGCACACAGTTTCAGTCGATGAGTCAGCGATTTTAAACAGTCAAGAATGCCTGGCGCGAGGGCGCGCGGACGGCCGTCGCAGGCAGCCGGTTCCACGCAGCAGCGGCGCGGTACGGAAGTGTCACTGGGTGGCGCTCATCGGACGCGTGGCAGATGCAGCGAGCCGACATCTCTCCCTCCCCCTCCCCCCCTCCCCAAGCAGCTAGAGTTTGGCGTTGGGAAGACTCGGCGCGCGTTACGAATGGAGCACGCAGTGCACTGCGAGATTCGGGGACGTGCAGTGCCCTGTACACGTTCAGGCAGTCCCGGTGGTTCACAAGATCCGCGACGCTTCGCCAGCCGAACGCGTCCAGAAAGGGTGAAATGTAATCGCTGTGGCGGACCCCACTCACCAGCCTGTCTGCGAAGTGCATCACCCTTTGCACCCTTTCTAGGTGGCGCTCGGCCGCTCCACCCCAGATGGGCAGGCAGTAGAGGATATGGGGAAAGACGCAGAGTTCGACGAGGAGCTTCAAAACCTCAGGAGTGAAGTGGTGTCGGATTTTGAACAGGGATACGAGGATTGCAATGCAGCGCCAAACGAGGGAGGAGATGTGGAGTTGCTAGGCGAGGTGGTGGTCGAGAAGTACACCCAGCACCTTCACTGAAGATGATGGATGCATGTTGATGCCGGAGATGGTAATGTGGAAGTTGCCGGCCTTTGTGATCGAGGGTTTGGTGCCCATCAGCATAAAGTTTGTCTTTTTGGGGATTTATTTTAAGTCTATCTGACTGAAACCAGTTTTGAAGGTGCTGAGTGGACTCCTCAACACAGGCTTTCAGGTTAGACAGCCGACGACATCGGGGATAGAGGAGTCAAGAGTTGGGTGTCATCGGCGTAAGATAGTTGACGGCCGTGTGGTAGGAAGCTGGATAGGTCGTTGATGAAGATGAGGAACAGAATTGGGCTAACAAGGGATCCCTGGGCTACTCTATGGGATAGAGATAAGGCAACCGAGCCACCACCGACACCTGCTTCAGACCGCTCAGGTTGTCCCGGAACCATTCCGAGGGCACTCCGCACCATTCCAGCTTGCTAAGGAGGACGCCGTGATCAACGCTGCTAAAGGCTTTGCCAATGTCAATCGTCATTATTGACGTGACATGGCCGTTGTCGACAGCCCTTGCCAGCCGCCCGACAGCGTCGACCAGGGCATCGGCGGACGTGGACCGTAAGAATATTGCGATGGCGTCAGCACATGATTGTCAAGAAGGTAAGAAGTGAGCTGCGAACAGACGGTCTTCCCGATAATTTTCGACACTTCAGGCGGAAAAGAAATGGGCCGAAAGTTATTCAGGTCTGATCGATCGCCCGACTTGAAACACCACGGTGAAGCACGTGATCTTCCAGACCGATGGAAAGGTGCGTGATATGATAAAAATTTGATCAGATGTAGAAAACGTGCACCGATTATAGGGAAACACTTTCCACTGCATAGAGTGGTACGTCATCGGTATCGACAGCCCGCGACGCGCTCATCTTCCTGATGGCTGCAGAGAGCTCCAGTAGAATGACTGGATGCAGGGAGAACGCTGAGGCACTCTTTGATGTGGCACAGTGGCACAGTGAGGCACGGTGTTCGGCACAGTTTGGTTCGAGAAATGGCGCAGAAGCGAAAAGGGTGTCTGCGGCGAGCGCTATCCAGTGTAAAGTACGGTCTGCCAAATACCTGCGCAGGCGAAAGCCCTTAATGATGTATGCGGATGCAGGAGCCTTATTTAGACTTCGATCGAGACAGTGACACAGACATGACTGACATGTCACTGAGAAACAGTGACACAGACATGAGTGACATGTCACTGATCAACGGCGATACAGACGTGAGTGACATGTCATTGGGAAACACTGACACAGACATGAGTGACACGTCACTGAGAAACAATGACACAGACATAAGTGACATGTCACTGAGCAACGGTGACAAAGACACGAGTGGCATGTCACTGAGAAACAGTGACACAGACATACAGAAACTGAGTAAAGCAGCTTTGACCAAGTGACCACTGCCTTGCCATGATGAGCTCTTGACGCTATTACAACGGTGCATTTTGACAGAAGTGTAAGCTAAGCAAGTTAGCTTCAGACATGATTGATATTTATCTGTCATGGACGTCCACACAAGTTTGCGTTCCCTGTGTTTGTGTGTCGTCACGTGTTTCAGATGCTTACGTTCCAGTGATCAGCGTTGATTCGCCATTTGGCGGGGGGGATGCTAGGGCTTTTAGCGCAACCTGTTGAGACTGTTGGCGAGTTGTAGACAAAACACCAGCTGTTTATAGCCGACGTGGTTGTTTTGTTGTTTTGACATTTTAGAAGATAGTAACGACCTGTGACGCACAATGCATACATTCGGGGACGGCTTAGGGCCCCATATGACCAACGCAGTCGGCACGCTCCGAACCATATGACCAACGCAGTCGGCACGCCCCGAACCATATGAGCAGCGCATTCGGCACGCCCCGAAACATATGACCAGCGCACTCGGCACGCCCCAAACCATATGACCAACGGAATCGGCACGCCCCGAACCATATGACCAACGCAGTCGGCACGCCCCGAACCACGTGACCAACGCAGTCGGCACGCCCCGAACCACGTGACCAACGCAGTCGGCACGCCCCGAAGCCAAAATCATCATCCTTGTCGCAGATGGCAAAATGTCTGCTTACGACTGGGCACTATTGGCATGAGTTCGAATCTGCTTACATGCGTGATATTTCACCGGTTCGCGTCAATTTGCAGCATTGTGCGCAATAGCGAATGAGCCTAACAAAGTTTAACGCAGCGCAATTGTTGGTATACATAATGCACGCGGCCGGCTCGTACCATAGAACTCACCAGCGCCGTCCCGCACTTCGCGTCAGCACTCACGCACCACTGACCGCTCTCCTGGCTGATCTCATTGGTCGGCTGACCCCGCCCCAGGGCAGGTCAGTTGTGTAGAGGTGGGCCAGAGCCAGTTCCTCACTGACTTACGACCGGTGCCCCGTTCTCCATAAGCAAATGGAAGCCAATTCCCAGCTTGGAGTAAGCCCATTTCGTGTATGACGTAGCTACCGACTTATCTATGATGTCAAGGCCCAAATTAAGCCCATTCCTTACTTGGCCGAGAGGCAAGGAAAGTGCGGCAGCTCGTGGTTCTTTACATACTAACGCGTAGTAACGCCTACGGCGCATTTGCGGCTGGGGTGAGGTGAATGCAGAGGATTTGTTCGGGCACCATGGGTTTTGCCATTTTGAAAATACGCCATTGCCTTAGAGTAGCTCACTAATGTTGGCTGAAGAAAGCATTAGTCAGACTCATTTGCTTTCACTAAGTGATATGCCCTCAGGGATTACGGGCCACGGCATACCCGGCCGCGGCACGGAAGGGCATTGGTGCACTGACATGAGGTCAGCCATGACTGCGTACTTGGTGATTGGATCGCAAATGTACATGTATAAGCGATTTTAGGTTACTCGTCTGCCCAGGTTCTACCGCATTAGATCAATGGCGATATGTATGTAATGTAAGCTTGTTTGTTTCGTAGCTCTGATTGATCATTTTGAATGACCAGACTGCACTGGCCTGGGTTGGTCTAGGTTAAGCAGTTGCTGATGATAGATACGCTGTACAAACTTGCAACTGTGCGGCCTACAAGCACCATTGTTTTGCTGCATAAAAATTGCATTAAAGATATGGTTGCACTGATTTTCCATGCCACTTCTTCACCGACCTGCTGCATGCCTGACAGATAGTGAACAACATGGAGAAGGTGGAGTTTTGGGACTCCGGTGCCGAGCAGTCTGCCATGGCGACATTACCTAAAGTTGGTGTTTACAGATTAAGCGCTGGTATGCGTTTCAGAATATCTTATTAATAGGTAACAGGGATGCGAGGTTGATTTCAATGATTTATTGCTAGGTGTATTGAAGTGAGTGCAAGTACAAGGCAGTTGTATAAAGCTGTCATAGCTTAACACGTTTATTAATGATAAAGGCCATATGCATAATTTAGGGCAATCTTTTCTGCACACACCGATCTATGGCCTGCTCTCTTAATAGCATTGAATGCTACTCAATGTGACCATTACATATGCACAGTTTGCCAAAGAAGCAATCACGATGGCCATGGCCTGTCTGCTGGGTTTCACAAGGCAGGTGAGTTGTAAAAAATGCATGCATGCCATAAATGTCATCCTGCTCCATTTAACTGTCGCCTAACTTACCTTCTACACTCATAATGTGAACTAAATGCTGACTTATCAAAGGCTGTAAGCACTTAATTCCTAAAATGCTCCTTGCCAAATGCTAAGGCCTGTGGATGAGATTTTACACGTACTAAGCAATCAGACAATGAAATTGTCACACTGTGTGTTGGCCAAAGTAATCCCAATAATTCATGTTACATAAATTGTTAATTTTTAAATTTGGAGAGTCTGCAAGCTTTTTAGTTTATGCCCCTTCCAGAGACATCGCCTGCTGCTACTCCACTGTCTGTTTTCCAAAGTTTGTATTTATGTC